AACGCGACCCAAACTAAGGGAACGTTTCCTATTGCATGGGCGCATTGTTTCGCATGCATTGCTTGTGCTGCTTGGCCTTGTTTGTCGTTGATTGTTGTTGCCTGGCGTTGTTTGTCTCTGCTAGGCAGCAAGTAACCAGCGCCAGCTGAACCGATGAAGCGAGAGAAGGGAAGGAAAGGGGGGAGGGAACAAGGGAGGGGGAAGAGGGAGACTACGCGGAGGCCACGGACGAGGAGGATAAGGTTGAATATGGATGAGGATGACGACGGGAAAAGCGAAAGAAAACGAGGGTACTCCAGATACTTTTGTACAGAGAGAGGGCGGCCTTGAGCCCCACACGGGGCGAGGGCTGGGCCGACGGCCTGGCTTCGGCTCTGGCGCCAGCTCCTGGGGATGCTGTGCTGGCTGGCTGGAGGAGTGCTGGGGTCTGAGTGGGGCCAGGACCCCCGCCCAGTCCAGGCAGGGGCGGAGGGCCCCGTGGCCTGAGGCGTCGGCTGCGGCCGTCGCCCGCTGCGGTGCTGGCGTGGGGCGCTGGCCTGCGGCACGGCCTGAGCGCGCGGGCGCGAGAGGCGCCCCGAGCTTTGGCGGAGAGAGCGCGCGGCGTCGAGGGCTTGCACCCTGCGCGTCGCGCAAGCGGTGCGCAGAGAGAGAGAGAGAGAGAGAAAGAGAGAGAGAGAGAGAGACAGACAGAGAAAGAGAAAGAGAGAGAGAGAGAGAAGGAGAGAGAGAGAGAGAGGGACACACACACAACGCCCACGCGCACGTGCACGCGCACGCGCACGCGCACGCGCACGCGCAAGCGCACGCACACGCACACGCGCACGCGCACGCGCACGCGCACGCACACGCACACGCACACGCACACGCACACGCACGCGCACACGCACACGCACGCACACGCACACGCACACGCACTCGCACGCGCACACACACACAATTACATAAACAACACAACACAAACAAACGCGCAAATCCGAGCCAGCCATGGTCTACACCCCGGCCGCCTCCGTGGCCGAATCCCGACAGCTAGGCCCCACTCTTGGGCGATCATTCCCCGAACCAAGCCCCGGGCCACCTCGCCGAATCTTGTCCCCTGGGCGACTTCACCCCTGGGCGGCCTCACCCCTGGACGACCTCCTCGGACGCGTCTCCTCCCCAGTCGACCTGGCAAAGAGAGCCCAGCAAGCAAGACTCCATGCGCCAGTCTTTGGCACTGCGCTTTGGCGTATCTAATAATGCAAATTGTCTTACTTTGTAGGGGACTGGGAACCGAGAGATCCAAGGAGATGGACGACGACGCCGACGCCGACGCCGATGACGACGACGACGAAGACGACGACGACGACGACGACGACGACGACGACGACGACGACGACGACGACGAGGGGGGTAGCCCAGCAGCATGGTGAAAACAGTGTGACGCATTTATGTGCTTGTTGTCTCTCGCCCTTGGTGCTCCCAAGGACGCCCCAAGATGGCCCCGATACGTCTCTCAGATCAGAGGCGTATTTCTCCCACTATTACTTTAAACGAGCTGTGGGTACAAAAAAACACGATGTCCTTCTGGGCCCCCGTCGGGGGAGCGGAAATGCGAGCGCAATGGCGTGCGCGGTCGCGCGCGACCGCTGCGGGCAAGAAGCGGGCGTCGCGGCGACGACAACGGCGGCGGCGACGACGACGGCGGCGTCTGCGCCGATGGTGACGAGGACAGCGGCAGCGGTGACCGGGCCCGGGCCCACGGGCGAATTTGTGCCCTTCCCTCGTTCCTGGGGTCCCGCGCCAGATTTTGATGGGAGGAACGAAATGTCTGTGCGCAGTGCCGTCTTTCCACTTTACTGGAGCTCTGTCGTTGCTTTACTTAAACGTCGCTTTCCCATAATATCTTGAGCGGCGCGCCTTCACTAACCCCGCTTCCTCGCTTTAGTAAAGCCGCTCCCTCGCTTTAGTTAAGCCGCTTCCTCGCTTTAGTTAAGCCGCTTCCTCGTTTTAGTAAAGGCGCTGCTTCGCTTGAGCAAAAACCGCGGTCTGCCTTAGCAAAGCCTTGGGCATGCGGTGATGCGTGGCCTGGGCCTGGTCGGGGGGCGGGGGGCCCGCGTCTTCCCTGCCAGTTTTTTCCGCGATGCATTTGCTCGAGTAATCAGGGTCGTTTTGCGTCGGGCGCGGCGATCCTTGGACAGTTGTTCAGCGAATTGTACAAGCTCCTTGGCAGGAGATCCAGGGCGCGAGCGCAGAACGTGGCTCGGCAATTCGGACGCGCCGCCGCGGCTGTCGCGCAACAGGGCGACAACATGTTACTAAAAGGCTTGTTTCATTTAGCAAATAGCTTCTTCAAAATGATGGTTTGAATTTCGGCTTCGAAGGAATGGTGACTCCAATCTGCGAATTGGCTCCGACTTGCACAGGGTGGCCCCAACTTTTCGCCCCCGAACTTCAAAATGCTTCCATGGTCGCCTAACATGGTCCAATAGAGCCTCGATGTGCCCCCAAACTGCCCCTGATAATCCTCGGATATCCCCCGCGTGTTCCAATATGTCCATGGCGCCGCCCGATAGGACGATCGGTGGAAGGAGTAATCCAGCATGGTAATCCCCAAAAGGACTCAAGGTGGCCGAAACCGTGACGATGCTTGATTGATCGGTCGCTTGCTTGTGTGAGTTGTAATTTTTGGCGTGCGTTTGTGTTTGCATGTTTGCTCGATTGAGTGAGCTGTTGCTTGCTTGCGCGCTGGCGTGCTCAGCATGCCTGTCTGTATGTGGTGGAAGAATTGCCCAGCCGTTTGCTTGCACGAGTCATTGGTTGCCCAGTTGCATGATTGCCTGTTGTTGCAGCCGTGTTCCAACTACGGCATGCGTCCCTACACGATTGCATGCGCGGTTGATCGAGCAATTCCTTGATTCATCTGTTGATTGTAGCATTGCCTGGCTGCTGTCTGGTTGTTGCGTGACTGTTCGATGCTATAGTTGCGCAATTTCCTGCATGTTTTGTTGCACGAGTGCGAGCTTACTTCGCTGCTCTGATTCCGTGCGTGTGTGGTTTGTTGTTGTTGTGTTGCCGACGTTTCCATTTGCGGTCAGCGAGGGCGGAACATGTCATGTTGTGAATTCGCCAGCCTTTCCGCGAGGCACCGACTTGAGTGTCTTCAGGCACCTTCTGATTTCTATATGCAATAATAATATAAATGCAATTTGAGTCCCAGGCCCCGGATTTTCTCAACTCGCATGGCATGATCTTCTGAGCATTCCCAGCGCTCCACGCACGATGTTTCCTGGGGCCCTGGACGCGTGATCGGGTTTCCATTCTTCCTGCGTGTCACAGGATGGCCCCACAAGACCATATTGGGCCACTATTATAGGTGTTCCGTGAGCCGTCGTGGAAGCTCCAGAGGCTTTCCTCCGAGGTTAACCTCTTCGAAATCTCTTTGGGTTATTCGATGTTTGCACATTCGGCCGTTCGATCTTAGGAGCGTCCGAGACGGCCCAGCAGCCCCACATATTGCCCCAAGACGTGCCCCGAGGCTCCAAGAGGGGCCCAAGATGCCTCAACGAAGCCCCCAGCCGAGGCCCAAGAGAGAGACTTCGAAATATCATGCGGAACCCATCCACCCAAGATGACCTCAAGGAACGCCTCCAGGCACCTGAAAAGCCCCCCAGAGGCCCCAGGTCCCCCAAAGAGTTCCCCAGGAAGCTCTCAAGAGGCTTCCAAGAGGCCTCCAAGGGGCCTCAAACACACTTGAAATATGCCTCAATGGGCCTTTTAAGAAAATAATGAATTTGGAAATACATCTGCAGCAAAGCACGACCATGCATCATGCACTATCATGCATCATGTGGCTATCCGTTGTTAACGTGTGCAACGCTGTGAATCGGACAAATCATGCTTACAGCATCATCCACCCAAGCTTCTCCTCGAACAAACCCTTTCGCAGAGTCCGAAGCACGCATATGTTCCCGGTCTCCGGGCCTCCGCGCTGACACCGCCGCAGCGGCTCCTCGAAGTCTTGGAGGCCCGTCGTTTCGCATTTGATTTCCTAGACGACGTGGCGCAACACCGTCTTCAGCATCCCGTACTGCGTGGATGTGATTGCGCGCCCGTTCGTCTGCCCGTTTGCGCGGCGCTCTACCTTTTGCAACCATGCTGTCACTTCCCTGCGCGTCGCGCCTTTTGTGCATGCGAGGCCTGGTCCGCGTCTGTCATCGATACCTGATCGCACGTCGGCCTCCCGTGGTTCCGCGAATTCTGCGCCGCCCCAATCACGCGATCCACATCGCATTGCCCCCTTCTCGGCCATGCAAGGCGCACTCTGCGGAGCGACGTCTTCTCGTCCCGGGGGGCTCACGCGCGCTGCGAAACGCGCGTGACGTCCGCCGAATTTGCCAAATGTATGGCCCTTCCCAGTCCTCCTCCCTCACGCGTGTCCTCCACCCGTCCTCCTTTCCATTTTTCGTCTGCGACCGCCCGCGCCCGTCTTCAGCGTTTCATCCCACTGGTCGAATCCAATTTCCAGTTCCATATAAGTCACGACCTCGTCAGTCCGCGCGCACGGGTCCGCCCCGTCAATGGGGCACACCCTGACTTACGATACACATGTATGTGTATACATATGTATATGTGCATGATTCAAGTTACAGCCATATATACGCATACGTACACACATGCAGACAGGCAGAGACAGAGACAGAGACAGAGACAGAGACAGAGACAGAGACAGAGACAGAGACAGACAGACAGCCACATGCATACATACAAACATACATATTTACGTACGTACGTATGTACGTACTTATGTACATACGCACGTGCGTGCATACATACATACATGCATACGTACGTACGTGCAAACATACTAGATACATCCGTATCCATGTATACACACATCGGTCGATTATTCCCGCTCTCTGTATATCCTTCGTTCTCTCTCACTCTGTCTTCTCTCCCTCTCCCGTTTTCCCTCACAGTCAACACTCTCCACCTTGCCCTTCCCGTCCTTGGGGCACCGCTAGGCTGCGGAAGGAGGGCAAGTCGGAGAAGGACATCAAGGCGGCCAAGGAGGAGCTCAAGAGGCCCCATCCCCACCAGCACGGCCATCTATCTTGCCTTCCCCTCCTCCCGCTTGTTTCTTTCCCCTCCCTCCTTAGGCTGCCTGTTGTCCTCTCTGTCTGGATCTCGTGCCATTTTTGGGCGACCGCGTGGCCGACCCAGAATCCAAGAATCCTAGAAACCTTTCGCCTTCCTCCCCCCGCCGCTCTCTCCAGCCGATCACCCCATTCCTCTCTGGAACGGGCTCTGCCCGCAGGTGTGTATCTACCATCTTGCCTTTGCCCTGGTGACTACCCGAAATTCCCGCCGCCCTCGATCAAGGCATCATGCCCCTCAGTAGGCCGGGCGAACTGGTCCTTCTCGGAACGAGGGGCAGGAGGTAGGTGGATGAGGGATACGCCAGAATCATTATGAGGAGTGTGACGATGAGGACGATTGTAAGGGTGATGGTCATGGTGATGGTGATTGTGATAGTGATGTCGGCCATGGTGATTGTGATGATGATGATGATGGTGGTGGTGATGGTGATGATGGTGGAGTTGATGGTGATGATGCTGAAGCTGATTATGATGATGCTGCGGGTGACGCTGATAACGATGAGGATGATGATGGACATCGTGATGTTGATAGTGATGGTGATGCTGATGATGACGACGAGGATGCTGATGATGGCGATGATGCTGCTGATACTGATTATGATTATGATTATGATGATGGTGGTGGCGATGATGATGATGATGGTGATGATGATGTCGATGCTGATGATGATGATGAAGATGATGATGATGATGATGATGATGATGATGATGATGATGATGATGATGATGATGATGATACTGATGATGATGATCATGTGATGATGCTGCCGATGATAATGACGCTATTGATTAAATGCTGGCGATGATGATGACGATGGTGATGATGGTGATGATGGTGGTGTTGATGGTGATGATGCTGATGACGACGATTATGATGGCGATGCTGATGGTGCTGATAAAATGATGGTGATGATCATGATACTGATTATGATGCTGGTGATGCTGATGATGATGATGCTGACGATGATGATGATGATTATGCAGATGCTGATGATGCTGATGATGCTGATGATGATGCTGATGATGACGATGACGACGACGATAACGATCATGATGATCATGATCATGATGCTGATGATCAGGATGAGGATGAGGATGAGGATGAGGATGATGATGCCGATGATGATGCTGATGCTGATGATGCTGATGATGCTGCTGATGATGATAATGCTGATGATGACGATGACGACGACGATATAGATGATCATGGTCATGATCATGATGCTGATGATGAGGATGAGGATTATAATATTGATGATGATGATGCTGATGCTGATGCTGATGATGATGATGATGACGATGACGATGATGATGCTGATGATGATGATGATGATGATGATGATGATGATGATGCTGATGATGATGATGATGATGATGATGATGATGATGATGATGATGATGATGATGATGAGGATGATGATGATGATGATGATGATGATGATGATGATGATGATGATGATGATGATGATGATGACGGTAGGCGCGAGGAGGAGGAGGAGGAGGAAGACGAAGAGCCAGAGAACGAGGGTCACATCAGGAGAACAAGGCGTGACGAAGGAGGAGAAACGAGAAAGAGGTGGAATGAGACAAGGAGCAGGAAGGATGCAGATGATGGTAGTGATGGTGATGAGGAGCGGGACGCACAGGCTCCAGAAGCATGAGAAGGAGGAGGGGTGTGAGGGTTGTAGGAGGAAGAGGAGGGGAGCAGAAGGAATACGAGGAGGAGGAGGAGGAGGAGGAGGAGGAGGAGGAGGGGAGGAGGAGGAGGAGGAGGAGGAGGAGGAGGAGGAGGAGGAGGAGGAGGAGGAGGAGGAGGAGGAGGAAGAGGAAGAGGAGGAGCAGGAGCAGGAGGAGGAGGAGGAGGAGGAGGAGGAGGAGGAGGAGGAGAAGAGGGAGAAGAGATGGCAGACGAGACGCGGAGGTGGAGGAGGTGGAGGAGGAGGAGGAGGAGGAGAAGGAGGAGGAGGAGGAGGCGAAGGACGAGGATGGAAGATGAGGAGTGGAGCAAGAGGAGGAGGGGGGAAGAGCAGGAGGAAGGTGAGGGGAGGAGGAGGAAAAGGAGGATGAGGAGGACGAGGGGGCGGAGCAGCAGGAGGGAGGACAAGGGGTGGACCCTGAGGAGGAGGAGGGAAGACGCCTAAGGCGGTGGAGTGCTGAAGGAAGAGGAGGAGGAGGAGGAGGAGGAGGAGGAGGAGGAGGAGGAGGAGGAGGAGGAGGAGGAGTAGGAGGAGGAGGAGGAGGGTTGATGCCCGGCGCGGCTCCATGACTGGCGGCAGGTCAGCGCCCGCGCCGCTGGCCAAGCCCGACGGGTCGAGGGCCAGGAAGAAGCAGGCAATGCCCAGTCTCTCTCCGGGCCCTTTGCGCACGATTTCTGCTGCCGCTTTTCACCGACCTCAATCCTTCCCTTCTCATTCTCCTCCTTTTCCCCTCACCCTGCTCCTGTTCTCCCCCTCCCCCTGCTCCACTCCTCGTCTTCTTTTCAAGGATTCTCAGATGGGTTCCGAACAGATGGGGTCGGAGGACTGCGCCGCATCGCCGATGCATCGGCGATGCGGCTCGGTGTGGAGCCCGATTTTCTCCACGCCGACGCCACCGATGCATCGCCGACATCGCCGATGCGGCCCGATTCTCCGACACCATCTAGTCGTACTCCATTTGAGAAACGTCCCCCTTTTCCGCCTCCCCCTTATGCTGGAATTCCGTTTCCAGCCGTTGCCTTTCCATCCGTTGGGACGCATCCTTCATTCTGCGGGCGATCTGTCTACGCCTTTGTTGGACCAGCTTGATAAACGGGCACACGCGGCCGAGTCTTGTGTTCCCAAACAATGTATGCATTCAGGGAGTTTTTTAGCGAAGACGCCTACGGCGAATGTGAGATAGTGCATGTGTCACTTGTGTATATGCACCACTCGCTGCCCTTTGACCTCTAGGGGCCCCTTTTTGCCATCGCGCTAAAACGCATCATAATCACACTGGTATCGGTGCTACCACACGATCCCCCGTACCGTACCAAAGCGCGCACGCCTCGCCAGAGAGTGTCGCACAAACCTCTCTTTACTTTCTGTAGTGGCAGTTTCCGTCGCTATGGGACTGATCTTTGCGCCATGGCATTTTTTCCCTTCGCTACCAGCCGACGCGCTGACGCGGTCCGAGACGAAGACTGGCTCCTACATCTACGACGGCACGGTGAACAACTTTCACGAGTGGGAATTCCGCACAGAGATGCGCATGAGTGCCGCTGTGGCTTCAGTGGATCAAGAGACGGGCGCGCCACAGCAACACGTGATCACCGCAGCTGCCAACAAGGTTGTAGCAAGCCCCAGAGGTGACGCATTCGATGTTGCCATGGATGTCGGTAAGGACGTGCTTCGGACTCCGAGTGGGATCGGTCAGCTGGTGTTGGCGATTCGTACTTCACTTTGGCCCGTGGCGGCGCAGGTTGCGAAGATCCTGTTCCAGGTGGGGCAGATACCATATGGACCACTGACTCGGCAGCACGGTGAGTCTATGGTCTCGCACATTTCCCGAACGAAGCGCTGGTGGAAATTTGCTTCCAAGTTAGATCCCAAGATCTTGATGAGCGACGTTGTGATTGGCTCCCTTCTCTTGGGCCATGCAGGCCGATCGCCTTCGGAGAATATGATGGCGTTGACATCCAGAGGACATGTGGCGACCTTCGATAATATCAAGGACGCCTTGATCCTCCAGCACGGCCGCGTACACACCCGCCCAAAAAGCAAGGGTGAGTCTGGTGAAGGCTCCAGCTTCGACGTGGACGCAGCCCAGACCCAGCTACCAGAACATGAGCAAGGGCAAGGGTGAGGCGCGCTGCCCTAGACCACAACGCGCCATCTACACTGCTGATGAATGTGGCACGAGCAGGAGGAGCACTACTCTGAGGAACTGAGCCCCTATAGGCACTGCTCGTCCAGCTACGCGTCAGAGCACGGCTGGGGCGACGCGGCCTTGGACGACGGCGCCGACGAACGCGCCCACGTCGACGAGGAATCGCATGCTCACTGGGCCCCAGGCCAGGATAGCAGCGAGCTCGACGCCGAGGTGGTCGACGATATGGTCGCGGCCAGACACGCGGAGGAAGAGGCTTCTGACGCGATCCAAGAGGGCCTGGCCGCCGATTTCGGCGCCAAAGGGAGGGGCAAGGGCAAAGGAAAGAGCGGGGGCAAGGGCCACCATTGCACGCCCCGGTCGCCCACGGGAGACGACGAGGGAGGGCCTTCTCTGGAAGATCGCAAGAAGCGGCTCCAGGAGATTGAGAAACGCTCGACATGCAAGACCTGCCACGAAACAGGCCACTGGTCAGGGGGCCCTGAATGCAGGGGCAAGCCCAGGGCGGCAATGGTAGCGCGCGCTGGAGACACTGGCGAGCGCCATGTCCAGTTGCGCGAGGACGATGACAAACGAGAGTTCGCGTCCGTCAGTTCTGTTGCTGCGTCGCATTCACCCCCTCATCATTTCATTTGGACCGAGGAAGAGTCGATGCGGATGGATACTGGTGTTTCTCGCTTCTGCTTTTCTTTCTCTCCTCGCGCCATATGTGCACGAGGGGGGAATTGCGACGGGCATCGCAGCTTGCAGCGCAACCGCTTTGAGAGTCGTGCCTGCGTGTGCTGCGCGGGGATGACCGAAGCCGCTCTGGTTCCTGGGGGCCCGGGGCTCTGAAAGAAGAGTCTTCGGACCTCTGCAGAAGCTGAGGGGGGTGCTCCTGGGTTTATGGCTGCTCGCTCGACCGAACCCCGTCCCGTGGCTGGCGTTTCTGATGGGGAGCCCGAGGGGGGGTATGTTTCGGCCCCCAGCCGCCTCCGGCCAGGATGCTGCGTTTGCTTCGGGTCAGCACGAAGGGTTTAGTCATGGTCGCGTTCTAAGGGATGCTCCAGTTGACGTGGGTTGGGGTCGCTAGGTGAAGATGCCAAGTGAGGAAATTGTTCTGTTCTTTAGATGGGCCGATAGCAACTCCACTCGGAAGGGGGGCGGGCAGTTTGCGAGAGCTTCGGGGCCGAAGGTTTCCAGGGGCAGAATTCTGCCTTCTTCGAGTTCTTCTTCCGGCCTGAACAGGCGGCCTCCGAATGCCCCGTTGCCCCGCCCCCGCGCTCGAGGTTGCGAGAATCTCTCGGGGGTCGTTTCTAGCGCTCACTTCATTGTTCGCGCTGCAAGGATTGCGGGCGCAAGACCAAGATGGAGAGGTGCACGACGCTGCGCTTTCCGGGCGAGTGTCCGCGCGATCTCGTGAACAGTCGCGGCGGTGCCCCAGATGTCAGCCCTGCGCGTTGCTGCCGTTGCCTGCCGCGCATCGATGAGCGGCCCAGGAAGCTAGCAACGTACAAGAAAGAAACAGCTCAGAAAATCGAGCGCTCCAGCGACGTCCACGCAGGATCAATTGAGAATCTTAGTGAGGATGACCGCCGCATCACCTCTATAGAGCTAAAGGTTGCACTAAGGGTTTTCACTAAACGTGCCGCTGAGATTTGCGATGGTACGGGTGACATTTGCCCAGGTGAACTAACTTCTTTGCCCCGCGACTGTGTCGCAGAAGTCACAGATCACAGTCTTGTCGGCTTTATGGCTCCAACGCAGAACGCCTCGACCGACAATTCCGCTCTTTTCTAAGCGTCGCACGGTTGATGTATTCAAGGACGACGGTGTTTGGGTTGTCCTAAACGAGGGTTGTAATTCTCGTTGTCACGACAAAGCTTTGGCTCTTCACGCAGATGATCATTTCGAGAACTTGGGTTCTATCCTACGCGGGTTCACAGACAGCGTGGGGCGCGCCGCGGCGCGGGGGGGCAGGCAGGGAGTGAGACGACAGGTAAGAAGAGTTTCCCGTTCCGCATCGTTGCTTCTCGCGGTGCCGTGAGCGGGTGTCTCGAGTCGCATCGGTTGAGAGATTCGGATCAGGTTCCTCTCTTGACTCTTGTTGTCTCTTCCTGCGCGTGCTTCCCTCGGTCTCGCGAGGGACCCCGCTAGCGGTCGCGCTCTCTTGAGTCAGGAAGGCGAGGTAGAAATGTGTCGTTGTGCTCGTTCAGGCATTCTTATCATTCGTCTTGATCAGTTTGGCCCAGCGCGCGTTGCGGTGCGGAGTCCATTCGTCCGTTGCACATTTCGCATATAAGCAGTGACCAGCCGTGCTGCGCAGCCCCCGCCGGCCGCGCCGCGCCGCCTGCTGTCGCCGCGCCGCCCGCTGTCGTCGATCGCTCCAGTGACGACGGGATCGCGTGCGCGCCTGCGCCCGTTGATCACTACAGTGACGACGAGGACGTGCGGGTCGCCGCCATGGCTGCTGGCGCTGGTGCTCGCCCCGCACCGCAGGGCTCGGAGTTTGCTGCGATCGCGCTGGGCCTGGAGAACTTCGAGAACAAACCGAGGTGCCTGGGGCCGACGATGCTGAGGGAGCACATCCGCCGTCACCACCGCTCCAGTCATGAGATGACTACCAGGGAACGCGACGGGAATGCCGTCAGAGATGCGCTCGTTGCTGCAGATGAGACTATGGCGAACTATGATCGGCACGTGTTGGTGTACACCAGGGCTCTGAACGACCCGACTCACGCGCGCCATATCGGTCATCGCCCGGATATATTACGCAATTCAGTTGATAAAGAACATGTCGTTGGCATCGCTGAGTATGCGGGAAGATCTTTGGCGAATAGCGCGTCTTCACAGTCTGCGTGCATTGTGGCCATCTGTCGTTCCGATCGGCATCGCTGTGACGTTGCCAGTTATGGTGTTAAGCAGCTCTTGAAGCAGTGCGACATTGATTGCAGTTCTGCACGCCTGAGTAGACATTGGTGGCCCAGACGTGCTTGCAACGGTAAGTGTGATGATTGCTGCCACTTATCCGATTGGGCCCGTGAGATGGCGAATTCTGCGGCAGACAAGATGGCTTCGCCCCTCACTGAATCCTTCGAGAAGTTCAGTGCACCACCGCCTCCAGTTCCTGAGCCGTCTGCCATGCGCAGACCCCGTGACGGGGCTGAGCTGGCCAGGAGGGAGGAGAAGAGATCTCGCGCTTCATCGAGTGTGGTTGACGGAGTAGATGATGGTGATGTGGCCACTGTCATCCGCGAACGCATCAAATCGATCTGGCGCGAACGTCTCGGCGCTGACTATATTGAGGCGGCTTTCGAGACCATGATGAGGCGACGTGTTGGGCGCGGGCTGCAATTGCATTCGAAGATCTGCCACGAGGACAAGAGGCCGCCTGCAGATTGTGCGATTTGTACGCCATGCTCGTAAGTATGCAGAAAAACGGTGCATTGCCAAATCTGTTGTTGGTAGCATTCCTGCTGCTGCTGCTGCTTCGCCACCGCCCGTCG